CCCTCCCTCTCCCCTCCCCCACCTCCCTCTGGTCTCTCCCCGCCGCCTCCCGCCTCCCTCTCATCTCCAGCAGCTCTATCAGAAACGCTGTGCTCCGTTTGTATTTCTGATTTGGTGCCCACTCTTTGCTGGAGTTACGGTACAGCGTCCCTAACTCCGAACCTGTGTTTCCTTGGCAGACCTGGACTCCAGAGTGAACTCCGAAGGCCTGGATAAAATCTTAAAGCCCTCGGAGCCCCAGACCAGATCTTATTTCAAGAGTGTGTCCGTGTCGAAAGTCGTCCTCCCTGACGGGGTGAGTGCTGATAATGCTGTAATTCTACACTGCTCCCCACTCCCGAAGCTGTCCTGTGGAACTGCCTGTCGAGCGCTGTCACTTCAGGCAGGCCATGCAGGGCAGCACACAAGGCTCCAGCGCTCATGGGCGCGATGTGTGGCTTTAAGAGGTGTGTTTTGTCCTGTTTTTTTTAAATTAGAGACTGGGGGACAGGTACCAAGCAGTCTATGAGAAAATAAACAACTTAGAGTCATAGAGCTGTACGGCACGGAAACAGACCCTTTGGTCCAACTCATCCAGTCCAATTTGCCATTTGGCACATATCCCTCTGAACCATTCCGATTCATATCGCCATCTAGATGCCTTTTAAATGTTGGCATTGTACCAGCCTCCATCACTTCCTCTGGGAGCTCATTCCATACACACACCACCCTCTGCCTGAAAACATTGCCCCTCAGGTCCCTCTTAAATCTTTCCCCTCTCACCTTAAACCTATGCCCCTCTTGTTTTGGATTACCCCACCCAATAATCCCAAACTAAACTAGTCCCACCTGCCTGCTCCTGGCCCAAATCCCTCCAAACCTTTCCTACTCTTGTCTTTTAAATGTTGTAACTGTACCCACATCCATCACTTCCTCGGGAAGTTCATTCCACACACACCCCACACGCTGTGTGAAAAAATTGCCCCTCATGTCGTCTTTAAATTTTTTTAATCTTTAAATTTTTCAAAATCTTTCTCCTCTCACATTAAAAATGTGCCCCCTACTCTTGAAATCCCCCATCCTCGGGAAAAGACACCGCCATTAACTCTATCTATGCCCCTGATGATTTTATAAACTTCTACAAGGTCACTTGTCAACCTCCTACACTCCAGTGGAAAAAGTCCCAGCCTTCCCAGCCTACCCAGCCCTTCTTTATAACTCAAAGCTTCCATACCCAGCAACATCCTGGTAAATCTCTTCTGAACTTTCTCCAGCTTAATAATATCCTTCCTATTAGCAGGGAGACCAGAGCTGGACACAGTACTCCAGAAGAGGCCTCACTGTTGCGAAGTTGGGTAGAGTACTTGTGGGTTGTGAGGCAGGAAGTTAGAATTTGGTTTTTGTAAAATGCTAGGGAGGGGGAAGGCATTGTGTGGTCCCTTTTAAAAAGATGATGTGCTTTTTCTGTGCTTAGAGATGTGAAATGGATGTCTGTTAGCAGCAGCTTGAGAGGTTGCAAGTACACAGAGAACACCTGAATTGAAACTCTTGTATCGAAAGGCCATACAGTTAGCAGGCCAAGCAGCAGTTTCTTTTTTAAACCAAGACAACAGGCTTTTGAATCCACCCAATCAATTTGAACCAGGCACTTACATACCAAAAACCTGTTGAATTTAAATCTGATGGTTTTATCAACAAAGGACTAATCCAATTGTAAGAAATATTGATATGTCATCAAGGGTCTAAAAGAAGGGGCAGTCGGACAAAGAGGCCAGAGCTAACTGCCGTCTGCCAGAGCTAACAGCCCTCAGCTCTCAAGAGAATCACTGGCTCTCACAGCCTCCTCTATGTCTTAGAGAAAGCACCATATAGATAACAATGGTATTAACAACTAGTTAATATTCCTGACAGAAGAATTGACAGAGAAGGCACGGAACATTCCGGAAGACGCATAACCTGGCTGTAATTTCAACATACTAAATTCTATTTTTTTAAACATAAGTGGGACTTGTATTTATTGGAACAGCATACTATTAGAATCTTGCTTTATTCGGGAATAGTTAGTGGTTAGAAGGGATTTATTTGGTTTGTTAATAGTTTAGTTAATTTGCTCACTGTTAGATAAATAAATTGTTGCTTGTTGATTGTAAATTGAGCATCGGGGATTTATTTTATTTAACCACGAGAAGTTGCTGACAAGCAGGTTACACCACTTTTCAACCTCGATTTACAGATTATAGGGAGAGGTGCTCCTCTTTGGGACTTTTGGTTATAGTTCTTGGGAGTGGGTTAACCTCTGCTCTATAACACTCACCAAAGTCCTGTACAACCTCAAATAAATCACACGACACCAGGTTATTAGTCCAACAGGTTTATTTGAAGACCCAAGCTTTTGGAGTCTCGCTCCTTTGTCAGGTGTCAGTCTTCTGTACAACTTCAAGGTGACTTCCTACATAGTGTTTGAATAAATCGTTTGTTGCTTGGCGTCGAATGTTTTGACCCAATCGAATTGCATCTGGAACACGGCACATCACATTTACCATTAAAATAAGAAAAAGTTAGGGTCCAGGCTGCTTTCTTAAAATATTGAGGGGGTCTGGCCTATAACATTAGGTAGAATCCCATGAGCCTGTTCCCTATGTCCACTCACTAATCCCTCCTCCGTTGAGAGGCTGGTGCATATTTGTGTGGATGCAGAAGGTCATGCTTGCAGAGGCCAGTGTCTAGCGTTGTGGGTGCCATTCTGCGACGAGACAGCACTTCCTGAACCAGCCTGGCCTGTCTGTACCGCCGCGCTAACCCATTTAACTTAATCCGTCGCTGTGAGTGCCAGGCTAGTGGGCATCTGGGAGCGTCGGCAGGCTGGGTCCTCTGTCTTCTGTGCAGGCGAAAGGAACGTGCGAACTTTAACAAGTTAAACTGGAAGTAACCCGACATAAGAACTGCGGGGTGCTGTAAAAATGGAAATAGCTGGAAAAGCTCAGCAGGCCACAGCAGCGCCTGTGGAGAGAGATCAGAGTTGATGTTTCGGATCAAGTGACCCTTCCTCAGAACTGATGGTCGTGAGGAAAATGTCGGTTTTAATGCAGAAGATAGGGTGGGGAGAGAGGGTAAGGAGTAAATGATAGAGGCCAAAGAGAGGGGGTAACACTTGGACAGACAAAAGGAGTGGATAACGACCTGGGTAGGAAGGTGAATAGCTGTTAACAGGGACTGCTAGGGGCTAACATAGGATGGTGTGTAATCACAGACTGTGATAACAAGGCCTGGCGTGTTTGGGGTTGGGGTAAGGACATGGGAGGGCTGTTGGACTCGGTATTCAGCCCAAAAGGTTGCAGGGTCCCCAAGCGGAAAATGAGGTGCTGTCCTTCCAGGCAGGAGCAAATTACTGCAGAGGCTGGAATCTGTACCGAAAACAACGAAATGCTGGAAATCACAGCGGCTCAGGCAGCATCCGTGTAGAGAGAGACAGAGGGAGCAAGCTAACGTTTCGAGTTTGGTTGACTCTTTCGTCAGAGCTGAGCTTTGCTGGAGCACTGCAGCAAGCCTGAGACAGAGATGTTGGCCATGGCAGCAGGGTGGTGTGTTGAAGTGGCAGGCAACTGGAAGCTCGGGGTCTTTTTTTAAATTTGTTTTGCAGATGGAGAGCTGCCAGACCTGCTGAGCTTTTCCAGCAGGTGCCCGTTTTTGAAACTAACCCGAACCATGTCACAGTTGGGCAGAGGTTCCTGGGTGTATTTCTGCTGACGAACAACGTGGTCAGCCAGGGATTGGCTGGTGTCTTCAGACCAGCTTCTCCTGTGGAGTTGGAGGTGGGGGGGGCGCAATCGTTAAGGTCTGTAATGTTTAACTTTTAACTTTGTTCTTTATTTCTTGTTCTTAAGATTTTGTACTTGTACCTATACTTGTACTTTTTTTTCACTGTACTCCTGTATGGAGTCCTACAGCATGGAAACAGACCCTTCGGTCAGTCCACACCGAACATAATCCCAAACTAAAATAGTCCCACCTGCCTGCTCCTGGCCCATATCCCTCCAAACCTTTCCCATTCATGTACTTATCCAAATGTCTTTTAAATGTTCTAAGTGTGCCCACATTTACCACTTCCTCTGGAAGTTCATTCCACGCACGAACCACCCTCTGTGTTAAAAAAAAAAAAAAAAAAATTGGCCCCTCATGTCTTCTTTAAATCTCTCTCGTCTCACCTTAAAAGTGTGCCCCCTAGTCTTGAAATCCCCCATCCACAGGAAAAGACACCTGCCATTAATCCTATCTATACCCTTCACGATTTTATAAACTTCTATAAGGTCACCTCTTAACCTCCTGCGCTTCGGTGAAAAGAGACCCAGCCTATCCAGCCTTTCTTTATAACTCAAACCTTCCATACCCAGCAACATCCTGGTAAATCTCTTCTGAACCCTCTCCAGCTTGATAATATCCTTCCTATAATTGGAGAGGCTTCACCAATGTCTTGTACAACCTCAACATGACTTCCCATATAGTGTTAAAATTTTTATCTCTGCCAAGAAATGACGCGAGTGCGAGGGAGGAGCATAGTCAGGCATCTTCCGATGCCCGCCATAGCCAAATTTCTACTTGCGGTTGCTCGGCGCTGCCTGTAAAGCATTGACCCATGTTGAGCGCAGGGAAGTGGGGCTTGTGAGAGAGGACAGGCTGTGAACAATTGGGGAGGTGTGTGTGGGCGCGCGGAATGCTGTCTAAATGTGTCACGTTAAAATATGTCCCTCCCACCACTGCCCCAACTCTTCAGAGCGTAGAGGAACGTCGAGTGACACGGGACGGTGAAGGGAATGAGGAGACCACAGTGACGCGGGCGCACGGGGAGCAGTCGTACACCACAGTGACCCGACGGGACGCTCAGGGCAAGGAGGAACGCACCGAAGAGATGGTCAACATGGATGACAGTGAGTGTTCGGGAGGGTGTGGACAGGTATCTCAGGGGAGACCGTGTCTTTGAAAACCATCGGTGCCTCTGAAAGGCAGCTGAGGTGGCGGGAGGTCAAGCTGTGGAGGTGTTGAGGGCTGTTAATGAATGGCAGTGTAGGGGAGGGTCCCAGGAACATGGCAGCCAGTGTCCTTGTTCTGCATTATAAACCAGGGGCTGAGTATGTGTATGTGACACAGTCTGTGGCTGCATGTCACATCTCTCTGTGTGTGTGTGTGTGTGTGTGTGTGTGTGTGTGTGTCTCTGCCCGGTGTGCACTCATGCAGTGCTATGCATGTCACATCTGTGTGTGTGTGTGTGTGTGTATCTGCCCGGTGTGTGAGTGTATTTATAGTTGTATTAATGCATTTCTATGTGCATAGTTGTGTGGCTGTATATATGTATGCACGTATATGGCTGTTTGTGTGTGCTTGTGTACTCGTATGTGTGTGGCAGTGTCCTTGCGTGCTTGTACGTGTGTGTGTGTGGCTGTATACGTGCACATGTGAGAGGATGTGTGCATGCTTGTATATTTGTGTGTATGTGTTTATGTTGTTTACTCACATGCCTTTGTGTGTGTAGACATGTGCTTATATATTCGCTATGTGCTTGTTTATCGGTGTGTGTGCGCGATCGGATTTTGTATCGGCGTGCACGCATTTGCTCACGAGCTCGTGTGCATTTGCGTGCACGCCAAACGTCTTTGCTTGTATACTCTGCGGCTGTGTGCATTCTTGTATACTCTTTTTATGTGGTTCTGTTGTGTGCTAGTAATGCGGTGTGTGCGCGTGTGTTTTAAGTGCGGCTGGCGGAAGATGCGGGGATGCCCTCGGCCTCCCCTCTGCCCGCAGCCCTCTGGTGCCTGGGCGGAGTGGTTTGCGCTGGCCAGCAGTAACTGTTTCCCGTTCTCTCGCGCAGGCGAACGACAAAGGTTCACAGAGCACTGGGAGCACCGGCCAGGAAAGGACACTCCGAGTGAGCTGCAGACGTTCGGTGACTCTCTCTCCTTCCTCGATAAGCTGCTCAAGGGGATCTTCAGCCGCTGACTGAGTCTCACACAGCAAGGGGCAACTTGGTGGGGTGGGGGGGGTAATATAATATGAGAAGAGACCACAATTGGACTGGCTGTAGGTTGTGTGTGTGACTGTTTGTGTCTGCCCTTAACTATATGAGTGTTTTGTGTCTCTGTATGTGTGTGTCATGGGAAGTGTCAGCTGCAGGGCCAGCATCTGCGGTGAACAGACCCGTTTTTTGGAGTGAAACCGGATGCATTTTCAGGTCGACAACACATTCACTTGTTGGGCGGGGGGTGGGAACAGACCATGGCTTTCCTGACATCGACGGAGTATTGCGCTGTCTCACTGAACTGTGCACAACATCGCTGTGCCCGCACGCACACTCTGCTCCGTGCCCTCCCGATTGGGTATGTTCCACATGCGATGTAACCTGCGCAGACTCTGCACGCTTCTCCTGAAGTTTGAGATGTCATTCGTTCAGGTGCAATAAAGTAAACGTCGTTCATTTTGGTTTGAGCTCTCCTGGTCTACCGTGGTTGCACACCACCCCCTGGCATTGCCCCTCTCTAAGGATTGTGTGTCGGAGGCCCACTGTAGAACCAGAAAGCACTGCACAGGTTGGCACCACCGATGCTGGCACTGGGGAGCACCACATGTCCGAGGGTCAGCGCCGAGGGAGCGGGCGCTGTCGGAGGGTCAGCGCCGAGGGAGCGGGCGCTGTCGGAGGGTCAGCGCCGAGGGAGCGGGCGCTGTCGGGAATAGTGTGCCAATTTTGAGGCTGTGATATTAAGCATGGCACCTACCCACCCTCCCCACCACCTCTGACTCTGGAGTCTGTGACTCCAGAGACCCCCACCCCTCCCCACAGTGATGGGGGCCACCCTCTGAAACGGCCCTGAGTGAGATGCTCAATTGACTTAGGGTCAGGTGAAGATGCCGCCCCAGTCAGGAACATGCACATCCCAAGAAAGAATGACAAAAATCTCAGTGGGCAATTATTTTAACTCAGTCCCGTTTTATTGCGTCTCCTCACTGTATGTTTACAAACAGGGCCTGCCTTTAGCATCGTGGCTGTGCCTTTGTAAACTGATATTGTGTGCCCCCTCCTGAACTGTCTCTATTCCTATCCACTCCTCATGTACATAATCCTCTGCACCTTCTTATCCCTCTCCCCATCTATCTTGTGTGCTTTCTCTATCCCTGCCTTGCTGTCTCACTTGCTCTTATTTATCTCTCTCCTTGCTTTCTACCTATTTACCTTTGTCTCGGTCTCTCTTTTAGTCCTTGCTGTCTCACTGTTATGCTCGCGTTCATCTCCCCATCCTCGCTCTCTTCACTCTTGTCAACTCCTCTCTTCCTACTGCACTCTTTTTTGCCCTGTCTCTCTCTCATATCTGTGTCGGTCTCGCTGACTCTGTCTCCCTCTCTTGCTTCAGCTGTGTCTCTCAGCCTTTCGCTCTTATGCTCTCTCATTCTCTCTCTTGCTGTCTCCCTTGTCATTGCCCTCTCTCTTTCACTCGCTCTCTATTGCTCTCGCTCCCTGTCTCTCATTCTCTCTGTCTGGCTGTCTCACCCTCTGTTCCACTTTCTCTTACACTCTCGTTTATTCTTGCTCTCTTTCTCTCACTCTGTGTCTCACTCTCTTTCATCCTCATTCTCTCTCACTCCCTCTGGCAGGTGCTTCCCCTTCAGTCTCACTGTCTCTCACTGTTTTGTCTTCATGCCATCTTAATTTCTGTTGCTGTCACTCTCTCTTCCTCTGCCTCGTTGTTTTTCTCGTTCTGTCTGTCTGTTTTGTTCTCTCTCTCACACACACACACACACACACATACACAGCCTCTGGCATGCTGTCTGTGCTTTGCCCCTCCTAATGTATCCTCTGGCCTGGTGTATGTTATAATCCGAGGGAGCGGGCACCATCGGAGGGTCAGCACCGAGGGAGCGGGCACTGTCGGAGGGTCAGCGCCAAGGGAGCACCTCTTTGGCATCGGAGGGGCCAAGAGCAACTGAATGTTTGGAAGCTGAGGGTCAGGCTGTGGGGGTGGGGTGGGCAGAGGCTCTTCATGCAGGCAGTGCCAACTTATCACGTTCAGGAGGTCCAGCGTGGAAACATGGAGAAAGCTGGTGAGGTTTGAATGGTCCCAGGTATGAGGTGATTCAGTTGTGAGGGAAGATGAGAGAGTTTGGGACTTAGCTGTCAGAGTGGAATATGATTGCCGTTTTGACTGCTGTGAGCAACTGCATTGAGGGATTTGTGGGTCCTTGCACATCAGTGACAGCAATGCCTCCAAGTTTAACCAGTGGGGCCCTTCTGGTATGTGGCAGTGTCCTTACCTCTGGAACAGAAGGCCCAGGTTCTAGTCCTGCCTGTGCTAGAGGTGTGTCATGCCACTTCTAAGTGGTTGGTTTAAACATTCTTCACGTTCAGTGGGTAATAGGGAAGGCAAAGGGATTGTTGGCCCTTATTGCAAAGAGAATGGTGGATTCATTGCTCTCTTGAGGCACAGTGGTAGTGTCCTTACCTCTGGAATGGAAGGCCCAGGTTCAAGTTCCACCTGGTGTGTAATAACATATCTGAACAGCTTGATTAGAAATCTAGTTTAATTTTTTTTAAAATGGAAGGTTTTGCTATAAGTACACAAGGGACTTGTCAGACTACCGAGTGGTTTTAGTCAGCACTCATTTCTCAAAGCTCCAGGGACACAACTGTGTGAAGTTTGCACATTCTCCCAGTGTCTGCATGGGTTTCGTCCAGGTGCTCCAGTTTCGTAGAATCCCTACACTGTGGCAACAGGTCCTTCAGCCCAACAAGTCCACACCCAGACCCATCGCTCCTGTAACCCACCTAATCTACACATCCCTGAACATGATGGGTAATTTAGCACGGCCAATCCACCCTAACCTGCACATCTTTGGACTGTGGGAGGAAGCCCACGCAGACACAGGGAGAATATGCAAATTCCACACAGACAGTCACCTGAGGGTGGGATTGAACCCAGGTCCCTGGGGCTGTGAGGCAGCAGTGCTAACCACTGAGCCACTGTGCTGCCTCTTACAGTCCAAAGATGTACAGGTTAGGGTGGATTGGCCAAGTAAGTTGCCTTGTACAGGCCAGGGATGTGCAGGTTAGGATGGATTGGCATTTTGTATATTAACATAATACTACATGGTATTAAAATAATAGGTCCTTGCATGGTATTTTGTATATTAATATAGTACATGGTATTAAAATAATTTACAAAATACCATGCAAAGACCTATTATTTTAATACCATGTAGTATTATGTTAATATACAAAATGTCAATCCATCCTAACCTGCACATCCCTGGCCTGTATTTTGGTATTTTGTAGATTGATATATTACATGGTATTAATATACAAAATGTCAAAATACAGTCCTTGCATGGTATTTTGTATATTAATACCATGTAATATATTAATCTACAAAATACCAAAATACAGTCCAATTCTCAGTTGCCTCACTACACACGGACAACGAGCGACACAAATTTGACTGGGACAACACATCCACAATTGCATGAGCCAAACAGAGAGACACCAGGGAATTCCTGGAGGCCTGGTATTCCAACCGGAACTCCATCAACAAACGCATTGAGTTAGACCCTGTGAAGAAACCACTGAGAAACAGAACCGGAAGTGATACCAACCACCCCAGCAAACCGAGGCATATAAATAACAAGCAGGACAGAACACTGGAGGGGGCACACTGATGATGTTGTCTAGTAGGGTGACAAAACGTTTGCGACTAAACCCACCGGCTGGGCAAGCATGTCTACAACCTAATTTCCTTGGCCTGCCACGGAAGTATAGGAGTTGTTGTGTGGCCTTGACCGTTTTTGTTGACGTAGGTGGACCAGGACAGTTTGGTAGGGATCGTCGCTCGCAGGGACTGGATACTCTCGAACATCTTAGATGTACACAAGGGTGTGCCCTCTTGAAGTCAGTGACCAGTTCCCACAGCGATAGGTGGTATCTGAAAGGGCCCGTCTGCAGTGGGACTTCGCGTTTTCCAATTACAGCCTGAAACTTGTCTGTCGAGGGGAAACCTGAAAATGCTCTCGTCACAGAGTCGGGGAACGGGAGAGACTGGAAATACCGGCGGGGCAACCAGATGCCCATCCCACATCCCACACCCCACACGCTCAGAAATTTCAAAACAAATCTCATCTGAGGGAGGGTGAAGGAGAGAGTGGGAGGGCATGGTCACAGTTGAGACCCAGTGACTGTTTGGCCCAGAACTGGTCATGGGGTGGGGGCGGCATTTATCCACCACCCCAATTGTTACGCACGCCCCACGTTGCTGTCATCTCTGGGCTCAGAGGGTAAATGGGAATGGGTGCACTGCGAAGCCCCATATAGCCAAATGGCCTTCCCTCCGCTTGCACCGGAAAGAGCCCTGACCAAACCACTTTTCCGCCACCCCGCGCCTCCTCCCACACAACTCTTCCCAAACCTTCAGAAGTAAGAGGTTGAGAGTTTGGGTCCCCAGACCCCATTGTAACTGGGACACCCAATCCAGAGGCAGGTTACCAGGGAGGGTGTTCAAGGAGCGTTGTAGTGATGGAGGGTCAGTGCTGAGGGAGAGCCATGCTGTCGGAGGGTCTGCACTGCAGGAGTGGGCATAGTTGGAGGGTCAGCACTGAGGGAACGGGCAATGTCGGAGGGTCAGTGCTGAGGGAGCGGGCACTGTCGGACGGTCAGTGCTGAGGGAACGGGCACTGTCAGAGGATCGGCACTGAGGAGGTGTCACATTGTCAGAAGGTCAGCAATGAGGGAGTGGGCACTGTCAGAGGGTCAGCCTGAGCTAGTGGGTACCACTGGACGGTCAGGGCTGAGGGAACGGGCACTGTCAGAGGGTCAGGGCTGAGGGAACGGGCACTGTCGGAGGGTCAGTGCTGAGGGAGAGCTGCACTGTCAGAGGGTCAGCATTGAGGTAGCTGGCACCTTTGGAGTGTCAGCGCCGAGGGATTGCCGCACTGTCGGAGGGTCAGCGCCGAGGGAGCAGGCAGTGTCAGAGGGTTGGCACTGAGGGAGTGGGCACTGTCAGAGGTCAGCACTGAGGGAGTGGGTGCCATCGGAGGGTCAACGCTGAGGGAGCGCCGCACTGTCGGAGGGTCGGCGCCAAGGGAGCAGGCACTGTCGGAGCCGAGGGAGCGCCGCACTGTCGGAGGGTCGGCGCTGAGGGAGCGCCGCACTGTCGGAGGGTCGGCGCCGAGGGAGCGGGCACTGTCAGAGATCAGCACTGACAGAGTGCCGCACTGTCGGAGGGCCAGCGCCGAGGGAGCGGGAGCTGTCGGAGGGGATTGCATGGCGGTTGATATGTGACCGAGAGTTACCCCTCGACCCGTAGCACGACAGAGAAAAGATCCTGCTGTCCCACTGCCTGGATGCCGCCTCTGCCCTTTGACAACTGGCATTGCCCTGTCAGAAGCTGAGCAATCTGGGTTGGCTCTTTCCAGCTCACCCTGCCTTCCTGCAGCTGAGTCACTCAATAAATGTTCAGACACACCCCACCGTAGCAGCAGGTAGATTGAGCAGACTTTGCTTCTGAGAGAGAGAAAGAGGAGACAGGCCCCAGATCTCTGAAACTAATCCCCAGGTAAGGCCGCCTGTTCCAGGAAAAGCCTGCAGTTCTGTGTTTGAGAGTTGGCTGGGAGGGTTAGGAGGGAGAGGGGAGGTGTTTGCTCCCTGATGAGAACTAGTTAGCATCAGAAGGTGGGCGTTATGACTTGACTCTCCATCCCAAACTCAGACAGGGGGAGACAGTCCAAGTCCATGAAAGGTTTTGCTGCTTTTTTATTTTTCACTGAGACTCTTCCCATGCCTGGTGCACCATCCCTCTGGCTCCCGCTGCCTTATCACCACTCCCCTAGGGGCAGGAATTACCTCAGAGCACCGAAAGGAAAAAAGTGTCCCACTTGCTACTAAACTCTGGAAACCCCCCTTCCCCGAAACGGGACGGTTTCAGCGGCGGATCTCTTGTGTCAGCAAAGTTTTGTTTGCTGCTTTCGAGGCGCGGTCTCTTCGTTGTTGTAATTTCCTTTTTGTTTCGTGTTTGAGACTTGAATTCCTTTCTGCGCTCCGAGAGAGAGAGAGAGAGAAAGGTGGAGAGAGGAGGCGATCGGCTGTGGTCTTAATGAAACTTTTTCTGGACAACGCCCACTCCTGGGAAGAAAGTGAATACTTTAACCAGCCCCTACTCACTGAGAAAACTCTAATTTCAAAATACAAAACTAAGAAATTAACCAGCATCTAATGTAATCTCTCTGATTCTAGATTCTAAGCAGGATATTAACAAGCTCCTAATGTAATCCCTGATTCCAGATTCTAAGTAGGATATTAACAAGCTCCTAATGTAATCCCTGATTCCAGATTCTAAGTAGGATATTAACAAGCTCCTAATGTAATCCCTGATTCCAGATTCTAAGTAGGAGATTAACAGGCCCCTAATGTAATCCCTGATTCCAGATTCTAAGTAGGATATTAACAAGCTCCTAATGTAATCCTGAGCCCAGATTCTAAGCAGGAGATTAACCAGAGCCGATATCGAACTGACTGAGCCCAGGTACAAACCAGAGCTTTAACTAAAGTCTATTCTCAATGGCTACTCATCAGAGGGTTCAAACCCCACTCTGGCCAGCAAAGACTTACACTTCCCTAGATGCCTTTGCCCAGTTATGTTACCCCAGAAGAGTGATCGCTTTTGCAATGTCGGATTTCCCACAAGCAATGAGTCATTGGTGACCCAGATTATCGGGTCTTCTTTTGAATTAAATTGGCATGTGACAATCAACTTGGGGACAGCGGGGACAGCTGCCCACCCCACACTCCCCCCCTTTCCCCCTGAACGCCCACCCCACCGCCTCCCCCTGCCCCTTCCACACCGAGTGTCACTACAACCGTAGGGTGTGGTCTGTGTGTCGGAGGTAAATTTATTTTCTATCTTCGTTCATGGCCGTCCAGCATTTGTTGCTTGTCCCTAATTGCCCCTTGGACCAGAAGCAGGCCCTTTGGTCCATTGGCTCCTCCCTGCTGTTCAATGAGATCGCAGCTGATCCGATCTTCCTCTACTCCCATTTTCCCCGCCCTCTTCCCATCAACTCCCTTCCCGATTAAAAATCTCTCCGTCTCAGCTTTCAATATCCTGAATGACCCATCCTCGACAGCCCTCTGCAGTAAAGAATTCCACAGATTTGCTCCCCTCGGAGAGACAAGAAATTCCTCCCCAACTCCATCTTCAATGGGCGACCCCCTTATTCTGAGATGATGGCCCACTGGTCCTAGACTCTCCCACACACAAGGGGGAAACAACATCCCCACATATCCCCTGTCAATTTCTCCCTAAGAATCTTATACGTTTCAATGAGGTTGCCTGTCAATCCTCTAAACTCGAATGAGATGGGATTAGATTAATTTAGGGTCGGCATGGACGAGTTGGACCAAAGGGTCTGCTTCCATGCTGTACATCTCTATGAGTACAGGCCCAACTTCTCCTCATAATACAGCCCTTCTGTACCCAGTATCAGCCGAGTGAACCTCCTCAGGACTCTCTCCGAGGCCAGTCTATCTTTTCTTGGATACGGGGCCCCAGAGCTGACCACAGTATTCTGGCTGTGCTCTGACTGGAGCCTCGTATGGTTTTAGCAAAAAACCTCCCGACTTTTACATTCCATTCCCTTCAAAATAAAGGCCAACGATCCATTTGCCATCCTTATTGCCCGCTGAACATGGAATGCTGGCCCACGGAGGAACGTTCTGCATTCTGCAGCTTTATGCAGTCTTTCACCATTTCAATAATATTCGGCTCGTCTTTTCCCGCCAAAGCGCGTAACCTCATCGTTTCCAGTCCTTGAGCTGAGTGCCTCACTCAGGGGTAATTCAGAGTTCAGAGGCCACCGCATCACTATGGGGGGGGGGGGGGGTTGGCGGTGGTGGGGGGTGGTGTCTGGAGTCACATAGGCCCTGATCAGGTAGGGACATCCAATTTCCTTAACCATTAAGGTACCCTGATGGGGTTTTCACAACAATAGATTGGCATGGTCACCTCCTGGAGTTAGAGCTGTCCCAAACCCTCACCCTTCAGCCTCCGAGACAAGAGAGGGCAGACCATTAGACCCTTCCCTGTATTTTTCAGGCCAGCATTACGCCGCCCCATTTAGGGTGTGATGGAGGAAAAGCAGCCCCTGCACAGGAAGATCCCATACCCCTTTCTGATCCAAGCTGGGTGAACCAGTGCAGCAAGGAGCCAGCCCCGTCGAGGCAGGTATGTTTAGGCCCAGCAAACATTCCGGACTTTGCTCAATGACTCACAGCCACCCACCCACTGTTGTTTGTGGGCACCTCAGCCCTCCTAATCACACAGCCAGGCCCCATCCCTGTCGCCTCCTCCAGCCCCTACACCCCAACACCTACCACCGACAGTACCCGCTCCCGCAGCGCTGACCCACCGACAGTGCCCGCTCCCTCGGCGCTGACCCTCCGACAGTGCCCGCTCCCTCGGCGCTGACCCTCCGACAGTGCCCGTTCCCTCGGCGCTGACCCTCCGACAGTGCAGCACTGTTGGAATCTGATGGGTAGGCTGGTAAAAATTCTGACGTCGGACTGCTGAATCTAACTGAGGGCTGAAGTTTGTTTGCTGAGCCAATCCTGTCACTATCTGCTAATTTATTTGCCATGGGTTAAATTATTTTCCTGTTTTTGCAGGTCACAATGGTACTTGTGAATGAAATCCTCAGCCAAATTGTTCAAGTAGACCGGGTGAGTACAACACCTCCTTGTGAACAGACTGGGCACTACAAATGTACTTGCTTGATCTCTTCCCAGCCACGCTCACAAATCAATCAAAATTTCATCCTCCTGATCTAGTGCCTTCTGCCAGAAGATGGTTTTGATTGACGGAGGATGAGGAGAAGCTTGGGGTTCAGTGTGACGCACACCCTGGTTGCACAGCCTGCACACAAATGCGCCACTGTGGAGATTTCCTTTTATTCCGTATCTAACCCCATACTGTCCCTGTCCTGGGAGTGTTTGATTGGAGGGGGGGGACAGTGTAGAGGGAGCTTTACTCTGTATCTAACCGCGTGCTGTCCCTGTCCTGGGAGTGTTTGATTGGAGGGGGAGGACAGTGTAGAGGGAGCTTTACTCTGCATCTAACCCCATGCTGCTCCTGTCCCTGGGTGTGTTTGATGCGGTGGAGGGGGGCAGTGTAGTGGGAGCTTCACTCTGTATCTAACCCCTTGCTGTCCCTGTCCTGGGCGTGTTTGATGGTTGCGGGGGGCACAGTGTAGAAGGAGCTTTTCTCTGTATCTAACCCCGTGCTGTCCCTGTCCTGGGAGTGTTTGTTTGGGGAGGTCAGTGTAGAGTGAGATTGACTTTGGGGAGGCAATGGCCTAGTGTATGATCATGGGACTGTTAATCCAGAGACCTAGGTAATATCCTGGGGACCTGGGTTTGAATCTCGCCACAGCAGATGGTGGAATTTGAATTCAATAAATATCTGGAATTAAGAATCTAATGATGACCATGAATCCATTGTCAATTGTCAGGAAAAACCCAACTGGTTCACTAATGCCCTTTAGGGAAGGAAACTGCCATCCTTACCTGGTCTGGCCTACCTGTGACTCCAGACCCACAGCAATGTGGTTGACTCTTAACTGTCCTCTGGGCAATTAGGGATGGGCAATAAATGCTGCCCCGGCCAGCGACGTCCTTATCCCATGAATGAATAAAGGAAAAAAAAATCTAACCCTGTTTTGTCCCTGTCCTGGGAGCGTTTGCTTAGAAATGTATTCCTGATAATCTGTACCCTCCACCTCATCGGAATGCAATGAGGGAATTTGGCCTAAGATTGACTGAAGAAATTTCTGAAAGTGTTTTTATAAAATATCGACAAATGCGAGTCAGTAAGTCTCTCAGATGACATGGCCTGAGGTGTTGGAAAGAAACAGTGTAAAAGTATTTTGCATTCTGTGAAATGATGGAGAAGATATTTTAGCTTGTGCTCTTCCTCTGATAATCAAGGTACAAGTCTGGAGTGTCTTTGGGCTGAGGTTGTCTTAAATTTGAAATCGGAGATGGATTAATTTTTGATGGACCAAATTATTGAGGGTTATGGAGCAAAGGCACCTCATCGAAATATGTAGCACGGAAACAGACCCTTCGGTCCAACCCGTCCATGCCGACCAGAATCCTAAGTATATCCAGTCCCATTTGCCAGCATTTGGTCCATATCCCTCTAAACCCTTCCTATCCATGTACCTATCCAGATACCTTTTAAATGTTGTAATTGTACCAGGCTCCACCACTTCCTCTGGCAGCTTGTTCCATACACGCACCACCCTCTGTGTGAAAAAGTTGCTCTTCAGGTTCCTTTTATATCTTTCCCCCTCACCTTAAACCTATGCCCTTCTAGTTTTGGACTCCCCCCACCTTGGGGAAAAGACCTTGGCTATTCACCTTATCCATGCCCCTCATGATTTTATAAAACTCTATACGGTCACCCCTCAGCCTCCAACGCTCCAGGGAAAATAGCCCCAGCCTGTCCCTGTAGCTCAAACCATCCAACATCCTTGTCAATCTTTTCTGAACCCTTTCAAGTTTCACAACATTTTTTCCTACAGCAGGGAGACCAGAATTGAACGCAGTATTCCAAAAGGGGCCCTAACCAATGTCCTGTACAGCCGCAACACGACACTCCCAACTCCTATACTCACTGACCCATAAAGGCAAGCGTACCAAACACCTTCTTCACCGCCCTGTCTACCTGTGACTCCATTTTCAAGGAACTGTGAACCTGCACCCCAAGGTCTATTTGTTCAGCAACACTCCCCAGGACCTTACCATTAAATCCTGCCCTGATTCGCCTTTCCAAAATGCAGTATTTATCTAGATTAAACTCCACCTGCCACTCCTCGGCCCATTGGATCAAGGTCCCACTGAAATAACCTTCGTTGTCTACCACCCGCCCAATTTTGGCGTCACTTGCTCATTCTCGTCCTGTCCTTTCTCTGACTAATAACCAAGTGATGCAATTACTCTTGTTGCCATGAGTTACATAAATCTTATTTATACTACACCTTGCCGCAAGTATCTCTCTCCTGAGTCTGCGTTAATGCTGTGGGTCTGCTGTTACATACCTACATTGCTTTTCATGTCACTTTTAACATTGACTGTCTCTTAAATGTTATTTATTGCCTTCAAATATGACTCAAACCATATGATTCAATGAGATTAAGATAGAAAACAGGGGCAGGAGTAGGCCATTCGGCCCTTTTGAGTCTGCTCCTCCGTACAATAGGATCGTGGCTGATCATCCAACTCAGTTCCCTGCTCCCCAATTCCTCCCTCCCACCACCTTATGTCCAACCGCTTATGGCCCCGACTGCTTTCTGTGGCAGAGGATTCCACTCTCTGGGTGAAGCCATTTCTCCTCATCTCAGTCGGAAATGTCCTGATCCCATGTCCTTAGAACTCTCACCCTTTCCCCACCTCCCTGATTTTGGAAAGGTCCTAATTTTCCAGCTCATTCCACTCCTGATTTGAGAGAGCCTGTCCCCCATTACTTCGGCCTTGCCTGCATCGTAGCTCCAGCGCAGTCATATCTTATCAACCTGAGCTTGAATCTTTGCAGGTGGGGAGGCATTTTTGAGATTCCTTTCATTCTTCGTGAAGGCTAAGGTCCGTTTTCACTTGAAATTACAGCTCTTGTGAGGTGCTCACTGAACTGGTTTGGATTATCTCATTAATTCATCCTCCCAATCACTGAACCTGCGACATCATGCTAGATACTATAACTCACTCCCGGGGATCTGTTATTCTGTATATAAACCACCCCGAACCCCTTGATTAGATTCCAGTCTGTAACTCCCTCCTGGGGTATCTGTTATTCTGTATATAAACCACCCCGAACCCCTCGATTAGATTCCAGTCCGTAACTCCCTCCCGGGGTATCTGTTATTCTGTATATAAACCACCCCGAACCCCTCGGTTAGATTCCAGTCCGTAACTCCCTCCCGGGGTATCTGTTATTCTGTATATAAACCACCCCGC